TAGGGAGCACGGAAGGCCTCCGTGACACCCCTGTGCCCCTGGCTCCATCTCCCCATTCTCTGCTTCTTTGGGGGTTCCTGCTCCCCCAGTCTGAACACTGTCCTGTCCGAACAGCCCGAGGGCTGGGTTCTTGCCTGGAGTTGCTCCGCCCTCCGACGCTGGAACCCCAGATTGCCTTCCGAAGCATTTTTGTTAAGATGGCAATAAAAAGAAATCAGTCTCACACTTGGAACACACCCAGGCTCCAGGATCTTTCTTTGGTGTGTCTTCTCTCTCTCTCTCTTCGCTGCCCGTGAAAGCCTCGAGGGCCCGAAGCTGGGGTTAGACAGCAGGGAGAGGCGAGTGGCACCTGGGGCTCAGGTGCCTCTCGTACGTCCCGGCTTCCGTAAGCTCCCAGGCCCCACAGAGAGGGGCGTGGCAGGAGACACGGCATGCATACAAGAGACCGGCCACTTGTAGGGCACCCCCTCTGCACATCACGAGTAAGACGCCACCGAGTGTGTTCTACTGTGTGCGTGCCTGGGGGCAGGGGAGTGTGCTGCCTGTGCCGGCAGGGAACTCTGGGGGCTGTCCACACCCGGTGTCTTTTAGGGACCACCTGGAGGCGTGAGCGTTGCTAGGCCACCTCCCCGAAGCCGCAAGGCTTCACCTGCCTGGGACCGAGGCTCCTCAAAGTAATGGAACTGCTCCCCTGGGGCCCGCCCCAGCTGGGCAGCAGCCCGATGCCAGCCTCACAGACAGCTGCCCCCCCCCCAGTCTTGTCCGGAAGCTTCTAGAAGCTTCTCCCCCCCTTTGGCCTCTTAGGATGCAGGCTGTCCTCTGTGGTTCTTGGCTATGGAAGTCAGGGCCAGCCACAGTGCACTCAGCGGTGCCTGGCCGGCCTCTCCTTTGGGTCCTGGGGAGGGAAGGGGCCTGGGGAGAAGCCAGGAAAGATAGACGCAGAGGAAAAGGAGGCCAAGAGACCACGGGGGCGTCCGTGGGGCAGTGGAGCCAGCAGGTTAGAGCAGGAAGAGGAGGCGAAGCGGGGGGTGGGAAGCAAGCCCGAGACTGCTCTGCGGTGCGGGGACACAACCCAGGGCCTCCCAGCCCAGAGCCCTAAGTGTGTAGCCCAGCCCGTGAGGACAAAGCACAGCCTCTTCTGGTTTCTGCCTCCCTTCCATCAGCCAGGCGTGGGCGGAGCTTGGCCTTGGCCCATCCCCCCAACAAGAACAGGGCCCCTTGGGTGAACTGAGAGTCACTTTGGGACCCAGCTAGCACATATGGCGCCCTTGATAGGACCCAGTGGGTGGGGTCTCAGAGCTGTTGTCTTCCTGCTTCTCTGGGACCCGGGGCTGCATAGTCATCGTGGAAGGTTTCGTCCAGGACCCGCCCTGACCCCCGCTGCCAGCTCACCGCGTTGCCCCTGTCCAAGGCCCCCATCCCTGTGGGCCGGATGTGAAGGGTGATTAACTACGTGGGTGTTTCTCAGGTCCCGGTGGACATGCTCAGTGCCCTCTCCCCAGGGAGGTGGTGGCCTGGTAACTCCCGCAGCCTGGTACCCGGCTGCTCAGCCACAGTGAGCAGACAGCTGTCTTGCTCTCCTGTTTGGCGGGGGGGGCTCCTGAGTGCCTCCAGCCATGTAGTGGGACAGGTGTGGACCTTCCTGCAGGGCTTGCCATGGATGGGGGCGGGGCAGAAGGATTCGGGGACTGGGTCAAGCCAGCAGGTGGCAGCAGGGGGGTGCAGGTGGCTGGCTCCAGTTAGCATTTCAATCCCTGCCGAGCAGAGCCGCAGGATCCACGGGCTGGGCACTGCGCATGGCCGCACAGGTTCTGCTAGCTTCTGAAAGTGCTTTGCAGTCTGTGCAGAGCCGTGGGGGTCTCTTTGCAAAGACCGACCCCCTCGGGGAGGAGAGCACCAGGTGATAGAAAGGGAGTCGGCCGGGATCGTTCTGATCCGTTAGCGGTTTGCTCCCCACGTCGCTCTTTGGAGCCAAGAAACCCCGGATCGTAGTAGTTTGAGAGCTGGGCAAACACATTGCTTGCGTGGAGAGCTGCATGGGCGGCGGCTTGAAGACTGAGGGGAGGGGGAAGGTGGTATTCGTCGTGTTCTGTGCGGCCGATTCTCGGGGGAGGACGGGTGAATGGTTTGTCTCCCGTCTCTGGCAGCAGGGAAGCCAGGACTGCCTCAGTTCCGTTCTGTGCTGCCGCCGCTAGGGCGATTTTTCTTGGTTGTCAAACCCCGGACTCCCACTCCCGTGGGGATTGGAAATGGCACATTCAGGTGTGGAGACAGGGCAGCCTGTGGTTGGAGAGTTGGGGTTGCGTGGTAGGAATCTGGACTGGCTTCTCTTGGCCTGAGAGCCTTTGGGTTTGTTTGTTTGTTTGTTTGTTTTTTGCTGACAAAGTCACCGCAGGAAAAGCGTGGGAATCGCCCTATTGTCCTCACCGCTCAGGGAGACCAAATCCTTGACCAGATGCCGATGGGGACACTGAACTGTAGGGGTGAAACCCTGGTGCAGATGAACAAGTATCACACCCTGAGGGTGGGGCTGGCTTCTCTCCAAAGAGCAAAGTGGCCAGAGCTCCCGTTTGCTCCCCGCTCTGCCTCGTTCTCGCCCCACGCTGGGGCTCTGCTCTCCCTCCGCTTGTCACAGTGGGGTCACCCCTGGACTCCAGGAGCTCCCTGCTCGGGCGGCTCAGCCTGCAGCAGGGCTGGGCAAAGCAGGCTCCGCAGGGGACTGCCCAGATGGGAAGGGTGGGATGGACAGGAGGCGGCAGGCACTGTGCCCGGGGCATCTCCAATGAAGATGCACGGTGCTCCTGGCCACCGCCACTCCCGCCGCCTCCTGGGATTGGCGTTTGTGGACTTCTTGTCTTTGTGTATGTGTGTGGGAGGATGAGTGGAGGAGGAATCATACTTCCTTACTGGGAGGGAAAACTTGGAAAGTGCAGGAAATTGCAAACACGATCCACCTGTCACGGGTAATCACTGTTAAAACATTGGTGTTATTTTCTCTAGGTAGTGGAACAAGGCTTGTTTTGAAAGCATCAGCGAAAGCGTGGTATAAATAGCTTTCACTCCTCTCACTCTGTCTCGGCGCCGTTTCTCCTGGCATGAACGCGTCTTTGTTAAACATTTTCCTATAGGGGCAGGCGTTGCGTCACGGTGCATTAAGCCCCCGCCTGGGATCTCCATATTCCACTTGGGGGGCTGACACTGAATCTCTATCTCTGCTCCTGAACCAGCTTCCTGCTGACGCACGCCCCAGGAGGCAGCCGGTGATGGCGCAAGGACTTGTGTCCCTGCACCCATGTGGGGGACCCGGATGGAGCTCCTGGCTCCTGGCTTCAGCCTGGCCCAGCCGTGGCTGTTGCGGGCTGTGGGGGAGTCAGTCAGTGGGTGGAAGTCTCTCTTTTTCTGTTGCTCTGCCTTGCAAAGAAATCAAAATAACTAGATAAACTGTAAAAAGTGTTTTTCTGCCGATGAGTAACATTCCAGTGGTGACTGTTCTGTCGTTTATGAAATTATTTTTCCAGTCTGAGACGTTCAGCTGCTTTTCCTTTGGCACTGTTAAAAACAGGGGAATCAGGCCGGCGCTGTGGGGTAGTGCGTTAGCAGTGCAAACATCCCATATGGGCGCTGGTTCAAGTCCCGGCTGCTCCACTTCTGATCCAGCTCCCTGCTATGGCCTGGGAAAGCAGCAGAAGATGGCCCAGGTTCTTGGGCCCCTGCACCCACGTGGGAGACCAGAGGAAGCTGCTGGCTCCTGGCTTCCAGTTGGCTTGGCTCTGGCCATGGTGACCATTTGGGGAGTGAACCAGCGGATGGAAGACCTCTCTCTCTGTCTTCCCCCGTCTCTCTAACTATGCCTTTCAAATAAATGAATAAATCTTAAAAGCAATGGAAAAGGAAAATTGGGAGAAGAGCATCCTGGGCTACCAGGCTTACATCCCTGGTACACTTATCACTCTTGATCTGTGTGGCCAACTTATTTCCCAAAGGATGGCGCCAGCTGCTTAGGCACTGCCTGTCCACAAGGGGTCTTTCGGTCTGCCTTGGCCAGTTCAGAGCCTACCCTTTTTTAAAAAAAGATACACGGGGGTACAGGGTGCTGCTTTGCTTGTCTTTGCTCATCAGTGATGTTGAATACTTTCCGTTTGTTGTGCATTTGAACGTGAATTAGCATATCCCCTGGACAGTTTGGTCCACAGTCCCCTGAGCTACCCTGCCAGCAGACATTGAGACAAATCATAGCACAGATCAAAGAAGCTGAGTTTTTTGACTACAGTTTGCCTAGTTGCTTGCGTAGCCCAGACCATAGGTCTCCAAATCATTGCCTCCCCCACTTTGTTCTAGGTGCACCTCCCCTTCTCAGCAGGTGTCAGAGCATGCGCACTTGTCCCCCCTCCCCCCCAGGGGGTCAGGTCAGATGTTAGGGAGAGTGGATGACGGTCATGGATTTCGGGGGGAGCTGCCCGCACTTTAAGGGTTATCCGGGCTTCGCTGGGTTTTTACTTTGTCTGCCCACCTAAGAGCTGTGAGTTACTGTGGGAGGCGCACGGGGCCACCAGGCTCCAGCTCCTGTTTCCTAGCTGTGTGACCTTGAACAAGACACTCAGCCTCCTTTCCTTAGCTCAGGTCATTCGGTTCGATGAGCCCGTGGTTGGCAACTTTCCCTGTCTCTCGTTCATCTTCTTCCTCTGTCCCCATTGGAGCCTCTGCTCCTAACGGCTCGGAACTTTAACACGAATCCTTTGATCTCATGGGCTCTCTTGTCGCGTGCTCTGTTTCTGCTGGGCTTTGCGAAATGCGGAAACAGGCCAAGGACCCCAGCCCTGCGCCCCCGGAGGCCTGCAGAGCTCTGGCAGGGATGCTGGCTGGAGCTGGTGCTCCTGTCCTGGGCGGGGCGGCTGCTCCCTAGACTGCCCCGTGTGCGGGTGGTGGACGCCCGCCCAGCACTGGGCCCGGCCCCGGCGGGAGTGGCCCGTGCGTGCTTACCTGTCGCCCCTCGCCCCCAGGTACGTGGTCATCTCTCGGGAGGAGCAGGAGCAGAACCTTCTGGCCTTCCAGCACAATGAGCACATCTACTTCCGGGCGTGCCGGGACATCCGGGCTGGGGAGCGGCTGCGGGTCTGGTACAGCGGCGACTACATGAAGCGGCTGCACAGCATGTCCCAGGAGACCATCCACCGGAACCTGGCCAGAGGTGAGTGCGCTACGGGCAGGGGCCACCCCTGCACACCGGCGGGCCAGACGGTGCCCGGAACACCCAGAGCATCTTGCAGGAGCTCCTGGCCCAGTCTACGTGGCCACCCTAGCAGGGTCCCCCTCCCCAAGAAATGGCCTGAGACACATACCTGTAGCGCAGAGTGTCAGGGAGAGCCAAGTCCCCGGAGCCAAGCCAAGGAGCTTCGCTAGCGGCTTCCTCGACTGGGATGGATAAAAACATGGCGCGCGCTACTGGGGAACATTTACAGCAAGTCCCCCCCACCCCGTCCCCGTGTCACAGCACGGCAGTAGCATGGACCCCATAAGTGGGCTGTGAGGCCAGACAGCCCATGGTCAGAGCAGTGCCGGCCTTGGCCAGGGTGAGCTGTCAGCTGTCATCTGAGTCATTAGCCCCACGCTACAAACACACAGACGGAGCAGCAGAGGAGCCCAGTGACGCAGCCAGGGTCACATGGCTGGGAGGGCACGGCTGTGTTCCTAGCCCACGTCTCTTGGGGCCTGTCAGGGTGGGGACCTTCTGTTCTGCCAACGGGACCGTTTGGGTACTTAAACATCGCTTGTGGGCCATTCCAAATGTTCAGCTCAAAAGTGAATCTGCTGGAAATGGACTGGATTCCGTGTCCTGCCTGCAGGTGCCTTGGCAGGGCCAGGCCCAGTGATTGGCAGGCCTCAAACGGCCCGGATGTCCCCCCACCCTGCAGCCCCTAAGTTGTAACCCACAGAGTTTAATGGCCTCCAGTCCTGGCCCCGTGACAGGAGGTGACAGGTCAGGCTCTGTGGGAAGAGGAAGGCTGGAAGGTGATAGACATTTCCATTTAAATGAGTCATGTACAAATGACTTGCAGTCCCTGGGGCCAGCCCCAAGCCCTCGCCTCTGGATCCCATTGTCAGCCTGGTCCGGGGTGAACCCTTGAGTCCAGATCTTTCCTCGTCAATCGTAGGACGAAGGCCACACACACATCCACATCCCCAAAGTGCATCTGCTCTCAGCCACGCAGGCTGTGCCCAAAGCCTCACCATCTTGTGTTCCTGCCCGGAAATCGAGTTCCGTCTGGGACAGAAGTGGGGAAGAGAGAAAGCCGGGTGGGGAGTGACCCCTTTCCACACTCTATCTGTGGCACCAAAACAGAACAAAGCCAGGCGTGGACATCGAGTATACCTGGCTTGGTAGAAGAGTGGGTGGGCCCAGAAGCCGGACCCCTGGCTCACCCTCTCCGGAGCCGGGTGGGGCCCTCGCTGCTCACACATGGGAAGGAGTGGGCTTCCGGGAGGAGATCCCGTGGCTTCCGCTTTACCTCGGGAGGCATCGGCGGCACAGCAGGTGCTCGGTGAATCTTTGTTGCCTGGATTAAAGCCAAAGTGAACAAAGAGAATCAAGACTCCCAAAGAACCCTCCCACCCGCCAAGAAGGAGATGGAGAGAAGTCCTGTCTGAAGACACAGGTTTCGGCCCTGGGTGAATTCTTGTGGATCTGTGATGTGCCCACCCTTCAACATCTTCTCCAAAGCACCCCAAGCTGCCTCGTCCTCAGAGAGCCCTGAGACCCAGGGGCCCAGCTCAGGGAAGGCCGTGAGCTCTCAGCCATGGTTCAGAGGAGTTGGCTCCGCTTATCAGCTCATGGGAAGACGCTGGAGGAGGGAGTGTTGTTCCTGGCCAGGCCGAGCAACGGGAGACAGGGAGGAAGTGGGAAGCCAGAGAGGGGACAGTGGCAGAGGCGTGGGTGGCCTTGGCCCTGAAGCCCTCGGGAGCAGCGGTGGAGCACGGGGGCGTTTGGCTGTGTGTCTCTGTGGCCCGTGGCGTTAGCACCCTCTGGTCACCTGTGGCGTTGGCCCCATAGACAGACTGGAAGGAGACCCTCTCTGCCCCATCGCTCAGGTCTCACGTGGGAGGAGGCATGTTGGATTTTGGAGACTGGCGCCCCAGTGAAAGGTAGGGCCTGGGTGATTCGTCCTTATTCAGGAAGGACATTGGCTGGAGCCGGGACCTGCTTCCTGCGGAGAATCTAGAATATTCCTTGGTGCTTACCTTTGAAGCGCAGGGTGCATCGATGCTTCCACCCAAATACTTGGGTGCCATCCGATCTGCGCTGAGCCACTGATTTCCCTGAAGCTGCTGTGTTTTTTTCTCCTCGTATTTCAAAGAGGCTCCGGAATCAAATTCATACTGCTTAAAGGCCATTTGCAGCTCCCAGATTTTTCCAGAAGCCTCAAGGACAGAAAGGTCTCCTGTTCATCCTAGGAAATTTGGACGACTTTGTTTCCGGAGACGCAGGGTCTCCCCGGCCATGCGCAGCCTTGGCCTCTCTGCATCCCCAGCTGTTTGCTGCCCCATTGGTTCTGGAGGAAGAGAAAGGGTGGTGCTGATGTTCACAGATTCTGCACGGACAGATTCTACAGGTTCTACATCTGATCTGTCCCACAGACACAGCGCCTGGTTGAAAAGGTGCCCTCTCCCTGGCCTCGGGGCGTTACAGAGCTGCGGGCCGGGAGAACAGCTAGAGTTCCAGAAGCCTCGGCGGGCAGGAGGGAGAGGGGGCAGCCTGGGCCGCTGCCTGTAGGCGCTGTTACCTGTAGGGAACTGGGGGTCGGGCCTGGGGCAGCCAGGCCTCAGTGCCCCATGCCGACCGTGGGAAGCCATGCACAATGTCCACTCGTGAGGGCCCTTGGCCTTTGCTCAGAGGCCTCTGGGAAATGCAGCTTTCAGAAGCCTCATTCAAACACGCTCAGCGGCACGTCACCCCTGAGCCAGGGAGCCCCTGAGGTGCCTGAGCCCCCACGGGCTACCGTCAGGCCCTCCGAGGGCTGAAGGGTTCCCCTGCCTGGCGAGCTTCTCTCTCCTTGCAGAGGGCCAGCACTTCTACAGCAGGTTGGGAAAACATGGGGGTGACTTCTAAGAATCGGGCTGGAGCAGTCTGGGTTGGGGGAGCTCACCAGAGTCTCTGGAAGTCATATAAAGAAACTCAAGAATGAACTGAATCCATTCACATGATAGAAAGAAATAGAAAAGGAGCTGTCTTTTGAAGTAGCAGGTAAGGACACACAGCTGTATTTCAGATCGCCTCGGGTCATTGTGACAACCTTGTCCTTTATCTCTTCCGAGGCGGCAGTAGGTGGAGCCATCCCCCGCTTCCTGTTTTTTTGGGAGGGGCCTCGGTGGTCAGCAAGAACCCTCAAATCCCAGGTGCGCTCTCGCCCATGTTCCAGTGTCCCGAGGGTGGGAGGGTTAGACAGGAGAGCCGCCGAAGAGCGGACTTTGCCCTAAGTGAGCTGTGCCCTGAACAGCCGAGGAGGAAGGAGTGGCGCTCGCCCGTGAGTCGCGTGCGTACCTTTTGCCAAGTCCAAGCAGAGGGCTCCTGATTGCTGGGGCTGGAGGGGGAGCTCAGAGGTCAGGGGTGTCAGCGCTGGCTCGGCCCAGAGATATGGTCCCGCCCACTGGTTAGACCAGGTGCCAGGTCACTCTCCAGGGCCAGAGGGTGGCAAGCCCATCGCCCTCACCTATGGTCTCTCTCAGCGTAGACATTGTAGACGTGGAACTTCCTTGCGACCGCACTGAGAACTGCACCCTCGGGTCCCGTGACTCCAGGCGTGGTCCGCGGCTCCCTTTCTGTAGCCCCTGTCCCAAGACCAGACCCCGCCAGGGCCGTCCTCCGCAGGCCTGCGTGGTTCTCTGTGGGTTTCTCCGCCCCCAGGGTTTTCCCCACTTCCTTACACCCTGGTTTTCCTTCCTAGGAGAGAAGAGGTTGCAGAGGGAGAAGTCTGAGCAGGCTCTGGATAGCACAGAAGACCTGAGGGGCCCCACTCAGCTCCCCGTGTTGAGACAGGGCAAAAGTCCCTACAAGCGGGGTTTGGACGAGGGGGACGCGCACCCCCAGGCCAAGAAGAAGAAGATTGACCTCATTTTCAAGGACGTGCTGGAGGCCTCGCTGGAATCCGCAAAGGGCGAAGCCCGCCAGCTGGCCCTGAGCACCTCGCTGGTTATCAGGAAAGTCCCCAAGTACCAGGACGGCGCCTACAGCCCGTGCGCAGCGGCCGTGACGCATGGCGTGCCCAGCGTCAGCCGGACCCAGGGGGAAGGGGACTGGAAGGCCCCCGCGGGGGGTCCCAAGGAGCCAGGCCCCTTGGAAGACGAAGAAGAGGAGCCTACGTCATTCAAGGCCGACAGTCCCGCCGAGGCCTCCCTCGCGTCTGACCCACACGAGCTCCCCACCACGTCCTTTTGCCCTAACTGTATCCGCTTGAAGAAGAAGGTCCGGGAACTGCAGGCGGAACTGGACTTGCTTAAGTCCGGAAAGCTCCCCGAGCCCCCTGTCCTGCCGCCCCAGGGCCTGGAGCTCCCGGAGTTCTCAGACCCCGCAGGTAAGTTGTCGTGGAGGAGGGGCGAGCATGTGGCAGGCCTTGCAGAGGGGAGCCTGGTGCTCTCTCTGCTGGGACCACCTCTCCAGGGAACCCGCGGAGGGGTGACCCCTGTGGGTGGCGGCCCCCATCCTCAGCTGGCCCCGGGGGGACGCCTCACCTGTTGCCCTTGTACCCTCCTTGTCAATAAAGGAAGTTCCGCCGCAGGAGGGGTGTGTGCTGTGTTCTTGACCCATTGCCTCGCTCTGGTCCCCCTGCCGTCCTGCCCCAAAGCCCAGCACCTCAAGGCAGTCCCTGTCCCCCCACCCCCACTCCCCAAGTCCCAAGCCGGCTGTCCTGGGCTGGGGGGAAGATCTTGCAGCCACCCAGACTCAGTCCAGGAACACAGTTTTGTTCTTGTCTTTCTGCATCTCTGAGCTGCCCCCACGTGAGCTGCCTGAAGTTTCAGAAGGATGGAGAGAGGCAGGGTGGGGTGGGGAATCCTGGTTGCATGCTTTGCGCCTTGCCGCTGGTCGCCTGGATCTTAGTGTTTTATTCGATGGCAGCGCCCGGCCACCTGCTCGCCTGCAGCCGAGTTCCACGGCCCTTCCTCGGCCTCCCACCTCCCTTAGGTCACAGCGAGGTGTCTCAGCCACTCAAAGCCAGCCTCCAAGGTCACCTGTGGCCTGCTCCTGAAATCGCTGGGGGCCACATTCCCATTAGCGGTAGGCAGGCAAGTGCCGAGCCCTGGCGGTACAACCGGCAAACCTGCGGGTGCTTTTCCTCCCTGCTCGCCTAGCTGGTGCTGCCCGTGGCCGTGGACCATCCCCACGAGTGGAGGGGGGAAGGACAACACATGGGGCGTGGTGGTGCTGGTGACAGAAGATTACCCAGCGGGTATTCAGACTCCCACGCGGAGAACAGGGGGGCTTACCCCTAACTTCCGGGCTGGGAGTCGATCCGTCGTAGGTTTCAGCCCGACTTTGGGTTCCGGTGGGCATGCGCCTGTCTTCCGGGCAGCATTTCCCGGTCGTTTATGGAAAAGGCATCGGCGTTCCACCCGCTGGGTGTAAACGTGTCTCTCCCATTTGTGTTCCAGCCTCAGAGGGCGCCATCTGTGGCCCCGCCGTCCTGGAAGACGACGACCAGGAGGTCGATTCGGCAGACGAGTCCGTCTCCAACGACATGGCGGCCGCGGCCGACGAGCCCTCCAAGCTGTCGTCGGCCACGGGGCGCAGGATCCGGCGCTTCAAGCAGGAGTGGCTGAAGAAGTTCTGGTTCCTGCGGTACTCGCCGACCCTGAACGAGATGTGGTGCCACGTGTGCCGCCAGTACACCGTGCAGTCCTCGCGCACCTCGGCCTTCATCATCGGTTCCAAGCAGTTCAAGATCCACACCATCAAACTGCACAGCCAGAGCAACCTGCACAAGAAGTGCCTGCAGCTCTACAAGCTGCGCATGCACCCCGAGAAGACGGAGGAGATGTGCCGCAACATGACCCTGCTCTTCAACACCGCCTACCACCTGGCGCTCGAGGGCCGGCCCTACCTGGACTTCCGGCCGCTGGCCGAGCTACTGCGCAAGTGCGAGCTCAAAGTGGTGGACCAGTACATGAACGAGGGAGACTGCCAGATCCTCATCCACCACATCGCCCGCGCGCTGCGGGAGGACCTGGTGGAGCGCATCCGCCAGTCGCCGTGCCTCAGCCTCATCCTGGACGGGCAGAGTGACGACCTGCTGGCCGACACGGTGGCCGTGTACGTGCAGTACACCAGCAGCGACGGGCCCCCGGCCACGGAGTTCCTGTCCCTGCAGGAGCTGGCCTTCTCCGGCACGGAGAGCTACCTCCAGGCCCTTGACCGGGCCTTGGCCGGCCTGGGCATCCGGCTGCACGACGAGAAGCCGACCGTGGGCCTGGGCGTGGACGGGGCCAACATCACGGCCAGCCTGCGCGCCAGCATGTTCATGACCATCCGCAAGACGCTGCCCTGGCTGCTCTGCCTGCCCTTCATGGTGCACCGGCCGCACCTGGAGATCCTGGACGCCATCAGCGGGAAGGAGCTGCCCTGCCTCGAGGAGCTGGAGAGCAACCTGAAGCAGCTGCTGAGTTTCTATCGCTACTCGCCCCGCCTCCTGGGCGAGCTGCGCGCCACGGCCGCCACGCTGTGCGAGGAGACCGAGTTCCTGGGCGACATCCGGGCCGTGCGGTGGATCATCGGCGAGCAGAACGTCCTCAACGCGCTCATCAAGGACTACCTGGAGGTGGTGGCGCACCTGAAAGACATCAGCAGCCAGACGCAGCGGGCGGACGCCTCTGCCATCGCCCTGGCCCTGCTGCAGTTCCTCATGGACTACCAGTCCATCAAGCTCATCTACTTCCTGCTGGACGTGATCGCCGTGCTCTCGCGCCTGGCCTACGTCTTCCAGGGCGAGTACCTGCTGGTGTCGCAGGTGGACGACAGGATGGAGGAGGCCATCCAGGAGATCAGCCGGCTGGCCGACTCCCCCGGCGAGTACCTGCAGGAATTCGAGGAGAACTTCCGCGAGAGTTTCAACGGCATCGCCGTCAAGAACCTCAGGGTGGCCGAGGCCAAGTTCCAGTCCATCAGGGAGAAGATCTGCCAGAAGACCCAGGTCATCCTGGCCCAGAGGTTCGACTCCCGCAGCCGTGTCTTCGTCAAGGCGTGCCAGGTGTTCGACCTGGCCACCTGGCCGCGCAGCAGCGAGGAGCTGGTGAGCTACGGCAAGGAAGACATGGTGCAGATCTTCGATCACCTGGAGGCCATTCCAGCCTTCTCGCGAGACCTCTGCAGGGAAGGGCTGGACCCCCGGGGCACCCTGCTCGTGGAGTGGCGGGAGCTCAAGGCCGACTACTACGCCAAGAACGGCTTCAAAGACCTCATCAACCACATCTGCAAGTACAAGCAGAGGTTTCCGCTCTTGAACAAGATCATCCAGGTCCTGAAGGTCCTGCCCACGTCCACGGCTTGCTGCGAGAAGGGCCGCACCGCCCTCCAGCGCGTGCGCAAGAACCACCGCTCCCGCCTCACCCTGGAGCAGCTCAGCGACCTGCTGACCATCGCCGTGAACGGGCCGCCCATCGCCAGCTTCGACGCCAAGCGGGCCCTGGACAGCTGGTTCGAGGAGAAGTCCGGCAACAGCTACGCGCTGTCGGCCGAGGTCCTCAGCCGCATGTCAGCCCTGGAACAGAAGCCGGTGCTGCAGACCCTGGACCACGCGGCCGACTTCTACCCGGACATGTAAGGGGGCCGGCGCCGCAGAGCTCATTAAGCTGGTGAATATTTTTTTAATCTATACTCCTAAGCTTTGATATATTATATAAATATATATTATATTATATTATATATAAATATCTATAAACCCACACTGAAAAATTTTTTTAAGAACCAAGGTGACACGTGCACCGGAAGCTCCCGGGAGCTTTCAGAAAGCAACAGTGGCGGACACACATGGACTCTAAATGTCTACAACATTTGGCAGCTGCAACATACGTGGTAACTCATTTTTCCCTTCCAGGAGCATGCGCTGGGGCCACCCGTGTTCCCGCCCAGCCACACGGGGGCGCTGTGGTTGCCTCTGGGTCGTACCTTCCGCCTTCCAGTCGTGTCCTTGGGGTCAGGATGGTCTCGCCCGTCTCTTTTTCCGTTCCGTTTGACGAGAGGGAGGGATGTCTCTGCGTTCCTCACCGAACTTCTGTTGGTTCTTTGATTGCCACAGGGTGGGGGTGGGACGGAGGGGTCTGGGTGGGATGCTGATGTCCCCCCCCCCCCACCTCAACTTCAATTTTTTTTTTTGCTTTTTTTTTTTTTTTTAATTCAGTTCCCAGTGAAGCTTCCTACAATGTCCTTTAAACAAAGTGGGGGGTCACACAGTGGCTCCCACTCTCTTCCTCCCTCTGTCACCTGTCCCCGCCCTGGGTTGTCCCTTCTGCCTTCCAGCCCCCTGCGTAGAGGAGGTGTGACCTGTTACACGGAAGGCGAAACCTCCTTCCATCCGGGGTGGCAGGGGGAAGGGGGGGCAAGCTCTGTGCATTCCTGGTTTTTCATGGTGCAGGTAAAACAAGTGAATTCCATTCAGACCCAGGGGTGGGGGGTGAGGGGGTGGTGGATACCAAGAGCCAAGAAGTCCAGTCCCCAAAAGGGCATCGATTCTTGGCTAAACACAAGTCCAAGGACAAGTATCCATTCACTTTACATCAACTGCTTATTCTCTGTCTCTACAGTCCATACAATGTGTTGGGGAAAGGGGGAGGCGGGATTTTCTTTTTTCCTTCAGTGACCCAGAGATGCCTGCAAAAATAGTTCAGTGACAGGAGACGCCCACGCAGGTGGGCAACAGACGGAGCCCCCGTCTGGTGCCAGAGCCTGGTGGGAAGGTGCGGGAAAGCAGGGCGTGTCTATGCCTGGGAACTGTGTTTGTTCTGGAACAGGGTAGAAATGTCCTAAGGAAAAGGAAAAAAAAAAAAGTAGGTCAGGACTCTGAGCCTACACACACACGCACACACACACACACGCACACACACACACACCCGTGATATAAGCTTTAGAAACAGCCGCTTGCCCACTCCCTGGGGCAAGCAGTGGTTTAAGCTAGAGGAGTCCACTCAGTACTCTCATCCATTGAACTACCGGTATACCTCGCAAGGGAGCTTTGCAAACCTGTGCGTGAGCAGTTGGCAAACAGTTCGCGTCTCTACATCTGATTCATGCGTATCTGATATGCAGAGATCCTCGGACGCAGATGCAGGGCGTGTCCGTGCCACGGAGGAAGCTCTCGGTTTCTGTCCCCCGGGGTCCCTGGCAGAGGGTGGCGAGGCCCCGGTGCCCTCCACCTGCTTGGCCCAGACATCCCAGAACTGTGGTGGCTTCCTTCCTTCTTGATGTGTCTCGTGTCCGGGGCCCCGTGCCACCATCGGAAACGTCATCAACACTGAACCCCCACAGATCCCGTCCCCCTCACCCCCATGGTCTTGGTGCTAAGATAACTTTAGAATCATTGCTGCTAGCCAGTAGCTTTTCATTATATAAATATATTATATATATTATATATTATTTTTGAAACATTTTTGTTTATTTTCAACAGTGATGTAGCATGTTTAAAAAAAAAACATGAAAAAAACAAAATACTGGGTTCCTTCAACTGTCCCACTGCCAGGCTTCATATGCTGCCTTCCTCAACAGATCAGTGCACCCCTGCCTGGCGACAACCACCCTCTCTGTCCCCACCCCGGTCTCCCACTTGCGTCCGCACCCTCCTCTGAGCCAGGAGAGTTGGCATGAGCTGGCAAGGAAAGATCCACAGTCGCCTTTGTGATGCTGTGATGTTCCCAGCCTCGTTCCCTGCTCCCACTGTAGCTGGCGTCTCCCTGCACCTGCTCCTCCCACCTGGGCCAGCGCCTCCCTGGGGTCAGGTGAGGATGCTGTTCCAAAGCACAAGGTCCCATCTCGCCCCGCTCCTGCCTGGGACTTCCTCTTCCCTCCCTGGCTCAGAGGAGTTTCGTGCAACATCACCAAGACTGAGATAGGTCAAGGGCAGCGATGGCTGGCAAGGTGGGGCAGAGACAGTAGGTTGGGATCCTTTCTTCTCGCCAACAGTTGCCTTAACACCTTCTCCTCCTCACCCACTACATGAGGACCCCTATCCCAAGGGGGTGTCCTCAGGCCACTCCTGTAAAAGCCAGGAGGAGAGAATCGTGTCCGAGTGAGCAGCTAATCAGGGCTGTATTGTTCCCTGTCAAGGTCACAGCCAGAAGGAGCTCAGATCTTTGGCTAGCAGGGGAGAGTCCTGTGGGCCAACTGCATTTCCCCCGGAGAGCTGGGGGCTGCGGGCAGCAGCCCGAGTTGGCAGGGGGCACCTGCTGAGCCATCCCCTCGGAGAAACCTGAGCTCCAGACGGTCTTGCCTCCAGGACTGGGAGCTCATGGCTTCTGCTGGTTTCACCAGGGCTGTGCTGTCGCTGGCATCCTGTAGGCTACCTCGCCTTGAGACGGGCGTCACCAGGAAGCCGCAGGGGTAACCCACCACTGCAGGTGGTACAGGCTCCTTTCTCCGCCCGAGGGCTCCCCAGAGGCTCAGGGGCTTCTCACCTATGGTTTCCTCATCTTTCTGCCTCCTGGAAGATGGGTTGGGTTGATGGGATCCTTGGGATCCAGCCCAGGGAACCACTGCTTGGCAAGGGCTGATCGCCTTTGATGGGCATAAAAACCTGTGGACACGCTGTGCTGCGCGTTCCCAGCGTGGCCGCTGCAGATGGGGTGGAGCCCGTGAACTCAGCTCCCTAAATCTCGGGAGGGACTCTGGGCTGGGACTTGCCCTCATCGCTGACTTCCTTTGGCTCTTGGAGCGGCTGGGAAGTGAGATCGCCTCTAAGGTCCAGGTTGGTGGCCGGCCGTGCCAGGCAGACTGGCTGCAGAGCCTGGGAGCCTGAGGCCCTTAGGGTTCAAACCACACGCCCTTCCTTCATGGTCGGGGTAAAGCAATTCGTGGCCACCGAGTGTCCGTGACACAGGAGGACAGCCAGCCTCATGTGTGCCTCTCGTCACATCTGGGATCCCGAGTTCTGCCTGCTTGGTGGGAGATGAGCACCCAGGCGCACCCTCATCCCCCACCCTCACTTAGGGAATGAGAGCAGGCTTGGCCTCCAGAGAGACCACGCTTGGGTGGTCGCAGCTGGCACTTGGCGGCTGCTGACCTCAGCCCTTCTCTGTGTCTCTGAGTTGCTTTGCCCAGTCCCTCCCTCCCCCGGGTCACACATCAGGTGCTTAGGCCAACCTTTGGTTTGGAGAAAGGACCTTGTGGTTGTTGAAGGTGGCAGGGGGATGTTACGATGGAGAAAACGGGAAAGGAACTAGAAGGTTGAACCCGGCAGTGGGGAGGCTGGGAGGGGCTCCAGGCGCCCCCTAGCTGGTGCTGTAGGTATGGCATCGTGTTTGCTGCCCCTGGAGTGGGCTGGGACCCAGCAGGTGGCCCAAGTGGTTGAAGGGTCACTTCTGCCTGCTGGTGACCTCCTGCCTTCCTTCTTTCTGTCCGCTTTGGGAAAAGGAATTCTGTACCTAGATCTGCTTTTGGTCGATGGTCTGGGTTGACTTAGTCCCTACGTGCAGCCTGGGCAGAAGGCTCATGGGACACCTCTGCCCCTTCAAGGGGCAGGCCTAACTGGGCCAGGCTAGGCCAGCTGGCCGGAGTGGGCAGGCTGGACTTCCTTCTACGGGATAGGAGGAGCATTCGGGGGCATCTGGGTTGGGAATGCCCATTCCCGAGGCCAGGCTCCGGGGCTGGTGTGCAGGAGACCGGGCAGGTGCCTCACCTACGGGGAGCTGTGCCTCCCCTCGCGCACTGCTGGTCATCAGGTTGATGTAGCTGTGATTCTTTAAGGAGCCTTTGAGGTGAGCTTTGCAGGTTAGCCAGAGGGAGGAAAAGTGCCCTTGTGGGAGGAAAAATGGTACGGCCCTCCCCCCCTCCCCCGTCCCTTCAAGTGGTATCGCCCTGGAAATACCTATGCAATCCAGTCTCCCTAGGAGACAGTGCATGGAGGCAGGGGTAGGTGCAGTGTGTGATGCAGATGCTACAGCATTTATGTTGTATATATGGACATATACAGTACGTCTACACACAGAGTAAGAGCAAATCACGTCTATATATCTATAAATAATATCCTATATATTTATACGTTTCTATGTTTTAAATAGATATAAAGAGAGTCTATAGAGCTGGCCAAGGGAACATCGGTTGCCTGCAGGAAGAAGGGGGCGGGAAAAACGTGGAAGCGGGGCTCCCCACCCTGTGCTGGAGGGGAGAGGAGCTAGACCCCCCCGGCCCTCCGTGCACTTTCTCTCCTTTCCGCAGGCTTGGCCTGAGGCTGGAAGGAGATACCCCCGCCCCTCCCAATCCCCGCTCCAGCCGAAATGCCCCCTCCTCTCCCACGCCCCGCCAAGCGCACGCTTAGGTGGTCGCCAGCTGCTCGGCCTCTAAGCCCTGGCGGAAGGATCCCTCCAGGAGCCGCCCCAGCACGTAGCAGCTTGGGGGGCGCTAGGAAAGGGGGCCCGACCCCTGAGGCCCCCTAGAGGCCATGCCCAGAGGTGCAGCCGTCCTGTTGGCTGGGGCACAGGGGGAAAGAGAGGTGGGCAGCGTGAGAGTCTGGCCCTACGGCGCCCGCACCCCCCAACTTCCCCGCGGCTTTCTGGCCAAAGTGTGGGGGCATCAGCCAACGGGGAAAAGTGGGAGAGACCCCCCACCCCCGCCGCTCCGCACACTCCCAAACTCAGCGGCGGCCCCCGCACCTGGGCCGTACTCAGGACCACGCCGTCCCCTCCTGGCGCGCGGGGTCTCGGCCCCCCGCCCCGCCCTCACAGGCGCGGGGAGCTCCCCGACACTGTTCCGATTCTGTGACCGAGGCCAAGGCCGCGCTAGGGGGTGGGGTGGAGGGCTGTCCCCAGCCCGAGCCCAGCCCTGACGCGAGTCCAAAGCCCGTTCACTTCCAGTCCACTCTGTCTCATGTCTTCGCCCTGTTGGCGGGAGAGAGGGCTCCGAGGGGTCCCGTGGTGGGACTGCCCCCCACCCTTGAGCCACCTCGGCCCCCCTGTCCTGCCCTTCCTCACCATCCTACCAAGTACCTCAGTCTCCAGCAGACCCACCCTGCACCTGCAGGCCGGGGCCGGATCTGCTGTGCCAGTGCCCACGCCCCTCCGAGCCACAGCCGGCTGCCCACCCGGGTCTCGGGGCCCCCACTGCAGCGGCTCGGACCTCCGGCAAGGGGCTGGGCACCCCCAGGTAGCAATCCCACAATGCACTGTACCTCAGAGAGAGTGTGCCAGGGGCGCGCCAAGGGCTCACAGGACAAAGACCAGGCTGCCCTGCGGCACCCCTGGGTGGTCCCTTCAGGCTGCTGGGTCCCTCTCAGCCCCCGCCTCTCTCCTCCTCTCCACCCCCACGCTACTGAACGTTTGCATTTGGACCACACAGGCAAAATGAAGTGGGGGTGGGGGGGGATAGCTAGGAGTCTATTATCACATCCGTATACGCGTGTTGATACTTTCTTTCTGAAACAGTAAACTCCCTCGATGTCATTATTTCGCAGACTCCGCTTTATAGTACCTGTGTGACGAATCCTAGAACACTGGATACGAATAGAGCTATGTTGGTTTATCATATTCTGTACACAGACTTTCCTTTGTCATATTAGCCTTGTAATGTAAGAAGATTGTTAATAAAAGCATCTAAATGTACTCGCCACGCCTGCCTCTCTGCCTCTCTCCCACGCCTGCCCTCCGGAGGAAGTGGAATGGACCCCGCCGGTTCACTCCCCCCAATGCTCACCGCCACTGACTCCCTCCCCCCACCCGGAGCCAGCTACGCAATCCCGGTCTCCCAAGCTGACCGCTTGCAACATCCGGGCTGCTTCCCAGGGTCTGCAGTAGCAGAGGCTGAATCGGGAGCCAGGGCCAGGAGGGGGACCCAGGCGCTCGGAGGTGAGATGCAGGCCTGCCTGTGGTGGCAGAGTGCTGGGAGGCGCAGGGCAGCAGGTGGCCAGAGACCGGGAGCGCGCGCGCGTGTGTGTGTGTGTGTATGTGTGTGTGTCTTCTGGTTTCTCTCTGTCCTCATAAAACTGAGGATCCCATCATGGGGGCTGGACCTGCATGGGCTGACCTGCTGGCCACACACACACACACACACACCCTGCAAAGGCCCCAGCTCTGGACACCATGCTGGAATTCAGCGTCCACCCTCTCAGCTCTTCACAGTGGGGGCCAAATTTCAATGCATGGGTGCATAAAGGCTTGGGGGACCCACTTCCGGCCGGTCATCTCCCGGCCCTGCCCACCTTTCAGGCCACAGGAAGTGTGACAGAGAACAGGTGAAATCCATTTACTGCCTCGTGTGTGTAACCCGAGAGAACCTCTTGGCGGAAGCACGCAGAGTGGCTGCAGGTGAGCTGTGGACCGAATGCGCCCCCCCCCCCCACACCTGCTTTGTGTGCCTCTCACTCCAGCCCAGTCCCTGGAGAGGGGACTTCGCTCAAGGGTTTGCCAGTGGGATGGAGGTGCGTGAGGAGTGATGCTTGAGAAAGAAGGTGGGCCGGCCGGCGCCGCGGCTCACTAGGCTAATCCTCCGCCTTGCGGCGCCGGCACACCGGGTTCTAGTCCCGGTCGGGGCACTGGATTCTGTCCTGGTTGTCCCTCTTCCAGGCCAGCTCTCTGCTGTGGCCAGGGAGTGCAGTGGAGGATGGCCCAAGTGCTTGGGCCCTGCACCCCATGGGAGACCAGGAGAAGCACCTGGCTCCTGCCATCGGATCAGCGTGGTGCGCCGGCCGCAGTGCGCTGGCTGCGGTGGCCATTGGAGGGTGAACCAACAGCAAAGGAAGACCTTTCTCTCTGTCTCTCTCTCTCACTGTCCACTCTGCCTGTCAAAAAAAAAAAAAAAAGGTGGGCATGAATTGGATAAAGGTCTGGGTGGGGCCTCCTGGTTTTCTCCTGGAGATGCCGCCTCGCTGCCCTAGGACCCCGCACCTTTGGGTGGTGACCTCTTCTTTCCAGTGCTGGCCGTCTCCTCCCAGCCCCAACTGACCACTTAGAGGCTTCTTGTGGTGAACGCCCCTGTGGAATGTTCTAGTTCTCTTCTTCCCAGAGGGTAAGCAGGGAACCAAGGAGCAAAGGGACCCAGAGGTCCATGGCTGACCAGCCAGCCAGCTAGGGGGACCGGGCAGCCCCCTGCCCCCTGCAGAGCCACCCAGATTGGCCCCACATTTGCAGCTGTATCTGTAACAGGTTAGTGGTCTCGTCCCCAGGGAGCAAGGCTGCCCTTGGCTGTGAGGTTGTTTCCCAAAGTGGGGCTGGGATGATGGTGTGGGGTAGGTCTGTCCTACGCCCTCCTCTCTCTCTCTCTCTCTCTCTCTCTCTCTCTCTCTCTCTCTCTATATATATATATATATATATATATATATATATATATTTATCTTCTCCTGCGCACCCCTCCAAGGTTCAAGGGCAAGTTGAATTCACCCCAGAGAGAGTCCTCCAGAGACGGAGACGGGCTGGCATCCTGAGACCTGGATGGTTGCTATGCGACCTTTCCAAGGATGATCTTTTCACCGTGCAGATCTGATGTTGGTGCCCTCTTTCTGTCTGACACTCTCTGGTACTTTCCCATTCAGCCCAGGTTCCTCCATCAAGCCCAGCCACTGCCCACCGCCTGGTCTGGCATACTCTTTTTCTGCTTGGGGGTCTTGCACCCCCTGAGTCCCTCGGCTTGGGCCCGGATACCCCCGGATGACTGCATGCTGAGTTTGTCTCTTCTTCCAGCTCTCAGCAAAAATGCCAGTGCCTCCATGTGGTCTCTCCTGACTACCTTGTCCAAACAGCCACCCGGGGCAGCGACCTTCACTCCTGGGGAAGCTGTGGTGTGCATGTGTGCGTGTGGTTGCTTCCTGTTTGTCCGCTCCAGATTGTGCTGCCCTGCCTGGGCCACTGAGCCCTTGAACCAGGGAGGACTGAATGCAAGCAACTCCTGATGGCCGTGTGGTTCCAGCAGCGTGGTAGGGGCCAAAGCTAAAGGCTCGGATTCTAACACATCACCTCTCTCCGTCTGTTTTCCCATTTGATCACTGTGACTTTAACCCCTGACCGCTGGTTGCATCTGCCCTTGAGCCAGCCCCTTCCCTAGACAGCTCAAGGTTGTCCGTGTGGTGCCTACTTGATTCTCCCTCCACTCCAACCTGCTCTTGCCCCTTGGACAACGCCCTGGTGTCTTGCGATTCTCCAGTGTGAGAGAACTTTCCTACTCACCGATTCTTGGAGCCCAGGTTGCATTCTGAAGCTACTGCAACCACCCAATAAAGACCCTCGGTCACCGGCTGTACCCAGAGCCCAGGCGCCAGCCCAGCTCAGGGATTCCTGGGTGCTGATTGTTTATCGCCATGGTGGTGGCCTCTTGGTTCAGGATGAGATGAGCCCTAGGAAGTACTGGGGTTTCCTGCTGTCATCTTCTTTCACCCAGGACTCTTGGGGCTACACTGAGTGGGGAGTTGCCTGTGGCTTTGACTGCAGAGTCCCCGACACCTCCTCCTGCGTGGGGATCCCCGTCCCTTCTCAGAAAGACCCTCGGGCAGCCTCTGCTTCCAACAGCTCATCCCCCACGCCGTGGCCCTGCAGAGGCTGTGTTTCTGCTGGCTGTGGGTGGGTTTGTCCTTGCGTGGGTCCCAGGTTTCTGAAACAGGATTTCTGCCATCCCCGGTTTGTCTACTGGCTGAACTGAAATAGCAAGAAGGAGCTTAGGGAAGCTGGGACGGGAATGTGTGCCCTCCTGTGGCTGGGGACCAGCTGCCACAGGGCCCCGCCCCCAAGGTGGCTCCCGTTAGACCGGTTTCCATGGCAACGTGTGGCTTCCAGCGCCAAGACTGGCTTCCTCCCTGCCTTCTCCCAGGTAGGTGCGGCCATCTGTGGCTTAGAAAAGCTTTTGGCTCATCTGTGGGCATTAAGGAGAGTGTGGGGGTGGCTTTCCGGGACTTCTATTAAGAAAATGCTCAGCTCTCTGAATCCGCCCCAGCCACATCCCGTGGCTTCCTCCTTGCCAGGCATCTGCCCCAGGAGGGAGACGGAACAGATGCCAGCGTTCAGAGCCTCAAGGTGTTGGTGCTTCTCCCACCTGGCTGTGAGCAGACAGGGCGTGAGAAGCCCCAGGCTCAGCCCCAGGTACGCTTGCGCGTTGTCCCCGGCAGGGGGCGGCCAGCAGGAGGGGCTCTGGGGGACACACTGGGGCATCACAGACCTGGGGCAGGCAAGGCAGCACCACATGGGCGTGGCTGCAGTTTGCTTTGTGCACAAGATGCGAGGCCAGAGCTGTGGGTCCGAACTGCGTGGCTGCTGCTCTCCATCAGAGAATCACAAAAGGGTCAAGCCACGGGGCCTGAAAGAGCCAAATTCATTTCACAGGCGTGGAAACTGAGGCCCGGCTGGGGGGCGGGCGGGGGCAGGCTTGCGGGCCCTGACGCGGGCAGTGGCAGTGGACATGCTCGCACTGGGTCTGCTGTGGAAGGCGCTTCACTGGCGAGCCCCGTGCCCGGCGGTGAGTGGTCTTCCCGTTCCTCTTCCACATAAAGCCAGACCCTTACCCGGAGGTGGGGGTGGGGGGCACATCCCTAGTCACCTGTGACCGTACCATCTACGGGATCAGGCTCATAAGATAAAAGCCACTCATCTTAAGAAAATGAAGAGCCTGGTTGCCATTAAAATCTGGGCGTGTGTACATAGGGTAAAGAGTGACTCGCACAGACGTGGGAGTGAAGACAGCACAGAGCTCTGTGCGTGGATCGTTTATCCTGCTTCGCAACCTGTAACAGTGACTTTAAACTTCACCCTTGTCCTCTCGCTTGGTGCCGGGGCCTCTTCCTCCAGGGGCTGAGGCTGCAGCGGTGACCAAGAAGACACAGGGAGACAGGACCCCAGGAGTCCCCTCGTCCCTGCCTGCTTTGTCTGGAGCTGCCGTTTGGAACTTTGCATGCATGGGAGAGTTTCTTTCACACTGGTAAAGAAAGAGAATCGCTATTTCTGCCTCATTTTTCCTCTCAGGAGGGAAGTTAAGGCCCCCAAAGGTCTCCATGAACCCCTGTGTCCCCTTGAACTCAGCCCTCAGGCAAGGCCACGGTACATGAGTGTGTGCGTGTCCCCCATGCACACGCCACTCTGCCATCTAGCATTCCACGTACTTCCATTTTGATCCGTGCACAGGAATGTCCACAGCAACACTTTCTGTGACCACAAAGGTAAAAAAAAATAAGGCAACAAAGTGTCAGTCAACAGAACACCATGTAGTATATCCGTGCTGTGGAATATTATACAGCAGTGAAAAAGAAATGAACTAGTGCTACATATGCCTGGCTGGATGAGGCTCAAAGTTTTATGGTAAGGAAAGGCATGAGACAATTTCAGGGAGATTTCAACACACATGTGAAATACAGCATGGTGTTCAGAGTTTCCATGTATTTGCCATCAAAATATGAAGGCATGCTTGGGATGAGAGACCCCACGTTCAAGATCATGGCCTCCCAAGGAGAATGTGGTGAAGGGGACTCCAACCGCAATGGTCAAGTTTTACTAAAATTGGCAGTGGCTCACAGGTGACTTGGGGAGGTTTTTTCCCCTGCATTTTATGTGTCTCAACGATTATGTAAACGGAAGAAGGCAAAACAGCAGGCGGCTGACCCTGTGGAAGTTATTTATTTGCTACTGCAAGGTTTTTACTCCCAAATGTGACACCGGATGGCGACGACAGTGTCTCATGCGTCTTTTTGTGCTTCGGTTCATGACTGAAAAAACACGCACACACTTAGCACTTGACAACAAGGAACAAATCACAAGGACTGGGTCTCTCTTCCCGGGGGTGGGGAGGGGGTGGCCACAGCCACCTTCCGCCCAGGACCCCTGTCCACCCTCCAGGAGTGGACTGAATGCTGGCTCTCCCTGCCCGCTCACCCCGCCTCCCTTCCCTGGGGGAGACTTGCCCCTCAATCCAGGGTCACACCTCCGATGGAAATGCTGGTTCCAGGGCTCCATGGCGCACGTGCTGACTGGAGGCAGGAGGCAGAGGCACGGGGGGGTGAATGAATTCCTGTGTTCATGTCTATAAGGGACCAGGTTGCCTGCGGGACAACGCCCAGCTGGGACGGTCTCCCACCCTGCCATCACCTCTGCTTCGTGCTCCTCCCTGGCCAAGAGCAAGGCGCCCCTTCCCACAGTGATCAGAGGTCGTCCCACCGGCCCAACCACTCTCAATGGCTAGCAAATGGCCAGTGTGTCTGGGACATGTGACTGAAGTTTTGCGTTTGGCAATGTGAGCATCTCTGGGTAATTTCAGATCCACCAAGACGGAGTTTCGGAGGAGAAGCCCAGCAATTCTCTCTTCTTTTCTCTCACTACATTTGCAGCGAGAGCTGTGGTTGCATTAGACAAACAGTGAGACTCGTTGTCACGCACTTCTAGCCCAATCTCTATGATGTCTGGGGTCTAGCATTGAGCACCCGGCTAACGTTTCTATGCTTTGAAATCTATCGTCTTCTCTCCCCTGCCCCCATCCATCACTGATTCATTCAACAAATATTTATTGAGTACTCAAGAGACAGGGCCATCCTAGAAACTTGGAACACACCAGTGAATGTGGACCCAAACTCCCTGCAAAACGCATCCACTTCTATCGGTCCTTGCAGCGTGAGATGCTGGCTGGCAAGCCAGGCATTGGCTCCTGTCAGGGGAAAACCTTCCTTTGGATTCTGGAAGATGGAAACTTTGAGATCCAAAGAAATGATTGCCTTGTGATGGAAGGACCAGATGGGGTGGACACCCTGGGATCGAGGGCCCCGCCCAAGCTTCCCACAGATGTCCTTCCATGGGGCCGGAAGGCAGGTGCACAGGTGTAGAAGGAAGCAGGACAGGGGTTCTGGCTGAATACTTAAATTCTGGGGGTTTTAGGTCTGGAATCCAAGCTCTTCCAGACTGGAGCAGCAGCTGTTACCAAGGAAAGAATGCTGGTCGCCTCGCCCAGGAAATGGTTACCCTCTCTGTGCCATCCTGGCCACAAAGAAGGCAAGGAGTCTCTGAAACACGTTCTAAGAAGCCACCACCAAGAGCTTCGCCCCGGAAGGAAGGGAAAGAAGAAACCGGCAAGGGCCCTTCCGGGCACCCAAAGAGTTTCCCCGATGGAGAGATGGAATGTTTTTTCCCTGTTTCTCCAGACAGGGGGTCGGCATTATTTCTAAAGCTCTCCTCTTTCTGTGCACGAAGGAAAAATGATGGCCAGCGGGGCTCAGCTCTGCCCCAGATTCTCAGGGGGAAGCCAGGGATGGCCTGACTCAGGAACGCCTTCTTAGACCGGGGGCCTGAGCTGGCATCTGTAGGGCCGGAGTTTGGAGAACAGTGCAGGAGGCGTCTAAGAGTCTGCGGCAAATTCTCATTATCTTTGATTTCCTTTTTCCAGGAACTTTCGGAAGCCACTTTGCATCCAAAGGTCCAAATGCAGAATCTGTCTCCTGGAAGTATCTAGAAGGTTCTGGCACTTTCTGGGCATTCTCAATTGCCAACTTGAAGTTCAAGACACTAGGCCATCTTAAAGATGACCGGCAAGTGGACTCAGGGCTTGTCCTTAGCCAGGGAGCACTTACCGCTCTATATCATCTACCTCACCATTCAGGGACAGCAACCGCGTCACTGGTCCTGTCCCGCACACCCCACGCCGAGGCTCTGACGGGCACCGGCCCAGGAATCCTGGCTCCTAGCGGAGTGTTCTCCACTTCATGAGGCTCATGACAGAGTTAATCAACGGCGTGCACATCTACTGGGAATAACAAAGTAGGAATTCAAAACCAAGCTGTCTCTTTTCAATGATTAAACTAGTGAGTCGTGAACGCTGAGGGAGCCAGGCGTGGCTACCAGAGCCCTCGTTTCCTATGGAAGGCTCTCTCCCATGGCCGTTTTCCTGTAGCCAGACGCAACGGGCTGAGCTGATCATGAAGTTTCCTTCTGAAGTGGCTGGAAGGCAGAGAGGGGCGGGCAGGTCTGTCTCAGAGGGTCCCGTGGCGGTGCTGGTGGCCTTGACACTGGGCACTCAGAATCCAACCCAGCCATCAGTGAGGGTCTTCATCAGACACGGTCTTCCCAAGATGAGCAGACTGATTTTGAGATAAAACCATAAAGTTCTGGGGCCAGCACTGTGTTGTAGTGGGTAAAGCCACTGCCTGCAGCACCGGCATCCCATATGGGTGTTGGTTCGAGTCCCGGCTGCTCCACTTCCAATCCAGCTCTCTGCTGTGGCTTGGGAAAGCAGTAGAAGATGGCCCAAGTCCTTGGGCCCCTGCACCCACGTGGGAGACCTGGAAGAAACTCCTGGCTCCTGGCTTCGGATCAGCGCAGCTCCAGTTGTTGCAGCCATTTGGGGAGTGAAGAAGTGGATGGAAGACCTCTCTCTCTCTCTCTCTTTCTTTCTCTCTCTGCCTCTGCCTCTCTGTAACTCTGCCTTACAAATAAATGAATAAATCTTAAAAAAAAAAAAACACCATACAGTTCTTCAATAAAAAGCACAACATCTGGTCCCAGAGCAGAATCTCAAAACCCGAGTTAAAATCTGAAGAATGAAGATAACTACATTTTTAAGCTGCACATTTCACACTGATGATGGTCAAAGTGTCCAGCGCTGGGACTGGGGCCGCCATGTGGTGCTGGAGCCTCGGCAAGGCGTGCGGCTGGAAACCTTGCTAGAATGTGGGGGAAAGGATTCTCCACGTGCGGCGCTTCTACCTCTGCATCGGAACCACCCGGTGCTTGCTAAAACACGTGGGCTCCTGGGCTCGGAGCAGGTATGCTCACGTGGCACGCCTGCTCGGGGGTGGGGTGGGGCCTCGGGAGCTGCTGGTGGTCCTCTCCACACTGGAGCTTGAGAATGGCTGGTCTGACTGTTTGGAGCTTGATAGAGCGCTGGCTAAGGTTTCCCACCCCACCCAGACAACCTCAACTTGTGGGAGCTGGCCCAGGAGACTTAGTCCCACGTCGCTTTGGGAATGCTTCATTTTTAAACCCCTCTTTCCCCCTTGCACCCGTGACTCCACAATTGAAGCTTTCCCCGCACCTGGCTGCCACCCACCTGCAACACCTGTTCAGTGCCTTTCTCAGGGACACCCCTGACATCCTGGCTGCACCCTCCAACCCTGCCAGGCTTCTGTTTTAGAGGCGGGAATGGGACGCCTGGGGAGTCAGGCCCTGGCCTTTGCCTGTCCCTGTCTCTGTCTTCTGGGTGTCAGAATGAGGAAGGGGCACAGACAGACAGGAGACTGCAGAGGATGGGGTGGTGCCGGAGCTGGGAGGCGGGCGGGTGGCCGGCTACAGGTGCAGCTGGTGCCACATGGCAATCTGCCGGCGTGGGTTTTTGAGCATCTCCTCCCAGTGGCTGCGCTCGGAGCCCGAGGCGTGCAGGCCCAGGCTGCAGTGGCCGAGCGCACAGCTCTGCCCCTCCTCGTCCTGGCCCAGCACCGCCAGCTCCACGCTGGAGGCCCGCAGCAGGTCATCCGGCAGCTCAAACATGATCATCTCGTTCCATACGGGGTTGATCTTGTGCTTGGCCCGTTTCGTCTGCTTCTTCTTCAGCTTCTGAGCCTGGTGCTTCAAAGTCACCTTGACTGAGACATCTGGGGGAAAGGGGGAGGAGAAATGAGTCAGAGAGGAAGGCCAAGAATGACTTCTGCCTGCCCTCTGCATCTCCATTGGACGGCACTGGGCCATGTGTCGTCCAACAATTAAGTGCCTGCCCCACGGCGGGGCTGGCCTGGACAGCAGGATACGGTGGAAGTCACATCCCAGAGAACCCACACTCCTGTGCAGGAAATGGACAGTACCCAGCCAGAATCCCTTATCCCAAATGCTTGGGACCAGAAGTGTTTGGGATTTGGGATGTTTTCAGATTTGGGGATAATGTTGCATATCTGTCGTGGGGTACCTTGGGTGTAGCACCCAAGTCTGAATACAGGAATCACTCCTGTTTCAAATACGCCTTACACAATAGGCTGATGGTGATGCCATGCAATATTTTTAATCATTTTGCACACAAAGCAAAGTTTTGTGGTGCGAAAGAATCTGCCTGTGCTGCCATATCAGTGTGCCAAGAGCTTTGGGGTTTGGAGTCTTCCGATGTCCCCGTTGGGATCAAGGGCACTCAGCCTATCTCGTAATCTGTAAGATGCATCGCTGGATGGGGGCGCAGCCAAGGGCTGCCGGGAAGCGACCTCTTGCCATGAGCCCTTCCCGGTGACTTCAGGCCTCCAGATCAAAGCAGGTGCACAAACAGCTTAGGGCTCCTGCGGCTTGCTTTGCAACTCAGCCCAGGAAACAAAGCCACCTCCATTTCTTCTTCCCCTCAACTCTCCCTCCCAGCATCTTTGTCTACTATTAAAACAGCAGTCCCCCACTCCCACCCCAGTACCCGCGCTGTGTCTGGGTGGGTTAAGCCGCCACCTGCAACTCTGACATCCCATCTGAGCACCAGTTCCAGCCCCAGCCGCTCCACTTCTGATCCGGCTCCCTGCTAGTGTGCCTGGGAAAGCAGCAGAGGATAGCCCACGCCCTTCAGCCCCTGCACCCACGTCGGAGACCCAGATGGTCTTCAACCTGGCCCAACCCCAGCTGTTTCAGCCATTTGGAGAGTGAACAGTGGTGAACGGCTAGTCGGCTGGTTTCCTCTCACGTGTACTTCTGTCAAACTTGACTTGAGAACCCTAACTTCACAGGGTGTAGACAGACTGCCTGGGTTCCCTGGGCACAGAGCTGACCCCACCACCTACCCTGGAAACCCACACGTGTGTCCCCAGAGGCACTTTCACAACACAGCACAAGCCTTGGGACCTAATTACTGTTTCATTAGTCAAGGTTCCCCCAGCTAATGTGCGAGTCATTGTGACTTCCTATTGGGGGCTATAATTACCATCCCTGGTGATTCATTTATTTCAAGAGAGGTCTTGAGAGACAAAGCGCTGTGCTGTCCTTGTCCCGGGACCTACCAGAAGTGTTGACAAAAGATCAAGAGATTTGTCTGCAGGGGGATGCAAAGGGGCCCAGGAACCTGCCAGCCAGGTTCACGTTTCCAACTTCATTCACCCCAAATCTTTTGCTCAGAGATTCCGAATGCAGAAGCAGCAATTTTTTCTTTGTGCGGCTATAAATAGAGATTTATTTATATCCCGCTAGGAGCATTTGGCTCCTGGTCCAGGTATTACTCCGCCAGCCCAGGCTGCTTTCCTGGTCTATAAAGGGAAGCCTGTTTCGGTCCCTGGACCTGGGAGCTGTGCCTGGGGATACAGACGGAGAGAGCAGGCCTCTGGAAAATTCTGGAACATTACAGAGGGGTTTATTCGGGTATAGGGGGTACTGACTCCTGAAGCCTCCGGCCCTGGCTCCCATGCCCACACACCTTCTGCTGTCACCCACACTCAGCTGCTGTGGGGGTGGCAGTTGGCCAAGGTTGAGAAGAGAGAAGAGCCTGGTGTAGGGGTGGGGAGTGCCGTGGCCACCAGCCGCGACCTCAGGAGGGGAAGGAGCCGGGTCTTCTGAGATGGCCCAGCCAGACCTGGGTGATGTAGACAAGATCAAGTTCTCCCTCCAGCCCAGGTCGCCCACTCCCTGGCTGTAGTCTGGCCCATGGCTTCCGGTAAGCCCCGGTTAGGGGCTGATGGGTCTCCCAGTAGCTGTCCAAGGTGGTGAGTCCAGGTAGTGCCCACCCGGGTCCTGGGGAATGAGATTGGCCCAGGAGTGAACTGAAATAAGCGTGCCCTTGAAGACTGGTTTGTGGGCTTAGGGTGGGGGACACGGCTAGAGCAGCTCCGTGCGTGGAGCACGTGGAACGTAGTTCACCTCCCTGCTCGGCCGTCTCCGTCTCCTCCCGGGTGCCGCTCCCTCGCACGCATTCCTTGGCTCCTGCCCTGGCACCTCACTCACCCTTCCCCAGGAGCTCCTTGGACTGGTGAGAGTGCAGGTTCTTGGCTTTGATCAGCACCACCAGGAGGCGGTTGGCAGCTGGGAGGTAGCTGATGGACAGAAGAATCTCTCCGCCCCCTGCAGACGACTCCTGGAACACAAGAGGAGACACAGGAGGCCACTGCCTCCAGGGTGGCTTCCGGCTTATCCACTGATGCCGAGACTGGGGTGGCGCTCGGTGTGCACCCAACAGGCACCCTGGAAACCATTCACCCATCAGCACCGGCTTCTCTACCCTCACTGATGGGAGCTGGCTACTGAGGAGCTGTCCTTGGCGTGTGCCATCCACCGCGGTCTGCTGGTGGCCACAGGTGACATTTTTCACAGGTCATCTATTTAAATCCAATACGGAAAACAGCGCAAAGGGGTGCCATGCAGGATGGGGCAGGGGCAGAGAGCTGGAAGTCCCCTCCCCCTTCACATCCCACCTGCTTTCCTGCCTCCCCCACCGAGCTCCTGGGGTGCTCCAGGGAACCCCAGGTGAGAACCACTGCTTGGCCACCAGGTTCCTGGGAGCGGTGGGGAATTGTAATTTGTTACTTTGAGAAGCTAACTCCAGCCCCTGTAGGCTGGGAGAGTGGCTCCTGCCATCTAATAAAGCAAGCCAGGGGCGGCCAGAGTCACAGGGTGGACAGAACGGACGTCAACAAAATGCAGAGTGGAGCACCGGTAGGTAGCGAACCAAGGACTCCCGCTAAGAACCACCTGTGCCGCCGCCTCCAGGAAGCATCCAGACACATCTGCCCGTGTATGCAGCTCGCCGGGGCGCCTGCAGGCAAACTCCGACACGGGTCTGTCTGGATGCCAGCAAACCCACCGAGGCACCCAACCACCCAGAGATTCCTGCCAGGCGGTGGGTGCTGGGCCGTATTCCGCGCTCCAGGGAGGGCTGGTAGGGAAGAGAGGGGACTGTGGGAAGGTGTGGCTGAAGGCCATGGCAAGTCCCGCCTTGGGAGCCCAAAGCAGAGGCCCCTCCCTCAAAATCCTGGGGAGGAGGAGGGAGCCGTGTGGCTGCTACCCCAAGACGGGGTGGGAATTGGGGGAGGGGTGGGGGGGGTCCTGCCAGACGTCACACCTCTCAGTCTTGTCCCCGTTTCTCAGCTGTGCAATGAGGAATTTGAAATCCATGTGCACAACAGGTGTTCATGGAAATGAAGAAACTGCATGGATGTCATCCTTTTTTTTTTTTTTTGCACCACACTGAAGTGATCTTTGAATTCCGTGTCACACACATTTTTGGAAAGACTCTCATCTATAGCATCAGGCAGTGTTACATGCTAGGAAGAGATGCAGCTATCAGGGGACTGGATGAGAAGGTGCAGGCGGGGAGGCCTCCCTAAAGCTCACAGCTCACACTTGCCACGCCCACTGCCAAGACCACAGCTGCTGTTCATAACCCAGCACAGACTCCAGAGCCAGACCACCAGGGTCTGAGTTCCAATCATGCTGATACTTCCTGTGTGGCCTCAGGCAAGTTACTCAACTTCTCTGGGCCCCCAGCGCCTCCTAGGTAACATGGGAGTAACAGCAGCTCCGCCGCACGGGTTGGGTGTGTTTATTTGGTGGTGTGCAGCAGTGTCGTGCACACGTCAAGGGCTGGGGAGCCGTGTGCTGCGACTGGCCCCATCAGGGCAGTGCAAGCACTCTTTCAGGAAAGCATTGCGCGGGGAGCACTGTCTCCGGGCTCTGGCTCAGCCCCTGCCTGTACACACAGACCTCTCGTCCTGGAAAAATGTCTCCCACCGGACTCTAGGGCTTCACCCAGCCTTAGGTGACTGAGCCTGGTGATCCCAGAGCTTTGGCAGTGACACAAATGATCATTTATTAAATTAATCAACGTTTATTCAACACCTACTATGTGCTGCACACAATTGCATTGTGTGTGCACCAGCGTGTCAGCTCCACTAAGGAACCCATTCACCAGGCATCCCCTGCACCCTGCACACAGTAGGTGCACGATGATTCACAAGGCCACTTCCAATCATTCACGGAAAAATGGGATTATGAGATAAGCTTATATTTTGGTGCAAAGGATTTTGAAATCCATACCAAAAAGTGTGTGGAAATGCATGTTATGAAAGAACTGTGGGTGGATCTCAAAGCTCTTAGCACCCAAATAAGGCTGCAATGATTTTTTTCAGTTCTGTTCTCCATGAACTTTTGGAAGTACCATTGAATTTGTGGGAAAAAAAAAAAGGCAAGGCATTGCATTTTGTGTTGGCAAACACCCTAACCAGGCTTCCGGTCATGCTTCCCTCACGGTGTAGGAAGCGCTGCTCTCGGGGACCTGCCTGTCTGGGTTACAGAGCCAGTGAGCGGCGAAGCTGAGTCGTGAAGGGAGGTTCCCACCACGGCCAAGCCCGCGTCCTGGATCTTCCTCCATGCGCTGTCTGCCCCAGGCCTCTCACTACACAGCGATTCCTTCCTGGCACCCAGCGGGGTGGGAACACAGCAGCGATGGACTCCAGGTCACCTCTTGGGGGTGCACAAATGGCCCGCGCTGCAGCTGCACAACCATCAGCTTTGGAGGGAGAAGCCAGCACCTGGGAGCCCCCGCGGGACCACCCACCTGCACACAGGGCGAGGCCCCAGGCAGCCTGGCTGCCAACAGCCCCTGCTGCCTTAGCACTGCTGCTTTAAAAACCGAACAGCCAAGATCTCCCTGTCTCTCCCTGGTGCCCCCACCCTCCCTCTCCCCCTGAGCTTCTCAATGAATCATTCAAGGCTGCGCTCTCCGTGGGTCGTAACTGTGGCCCCTGGTGACGCACAAGCCACTTTTGGCTGCACACGCCACTTGTGAATGAGTGGCTTCCGGTGGACTGGAGACACTGCTGCCACCTCTGTTAACTCATTCTTGCCCAGACAAAACAAAACACCTGGCTGCTGTATTGCAGGCTCCATCTACCTGGTGCAAACCAGCCTGCACCCCGACCTGGGCGAGGAGCTCCCTGGCCTGGCCTGGCCTGGCCTGGGTCGCTCTCCTGTCACTGTGAACTCACAATGTCACCTCCGACTTGTGACTCCACGCCACCCTCTGCAATGGCTCATATAGGTGAGTCCAGGCCGAGGTGAGAGGACATGGGTGGAGCAGGTACAGCACAGCTAATATGATGACTGCTAGGAGGCACGAGCCAGGTGGGCCCGGCTTCATCATTGCCACGGGCAGGGCTTGAGCTGTTGGCACGGGGCCCAGGACACTGTAGAAGCTGGGCAAGATGCTGGATTGAATCGATGGTTTCTGCTTATATCGGCTCAGGGTGGTAGCAGGCGAGGTGGCCAGATTTCAGCCCTTTGGGGGCTGCACCAAGGCCTCAAAACGTCAAAGTGGAGGCCTGTGCACCTGCAGAGGAAGCTGCCTTACAAGCTTAGTAAACCCACGTGTCAGGTCCCTCTCCCCAGGGTGATACCTGTGTTTCCGCACCTGTCGCAATCCACACACTAACTAGAGAAGAGAGCCTGTTCTGGAAGTCTGGTGCCATCGGAGAGCACCTGTGACTTTGCTGTCAGTTTTCCCCCCAGCTGAGCTCAGTGGTGTCCTGGCTGGGGGACCCCGTGAGGCGGCCCGAGCTGCTGCGGGTCTCAGCTCCCCGTCTGTAAACGGAATAGCCCCGGGTCTCTCTCGCCTGGCTGACGTGGGAGGTGCTGAGACTTGCGGGTGGTTTGTCCCCCAGTGGTTCATGTGCTGGAAGCCGGGGTCCCCAGGGTGGTGGGGTGGAGGGGGGGGCTGGGCACTGCCCTGGGAAGGGATCAGTGCTGGTTTCTTGGGGTGACTCACTTCTGGGCTGAGTGGATTCTTACTATGTGAGGCCACCTCATGCTCTTGGCTCTTTCCTTTCCTGCTTTGATGCAGCCAGGGGGACCTCACCAGAGGCTGAACTGATGAACCTGCCCCATCTTAGACCTCCAGCCTCCAAGCCCCTTTGCTTTATAAAGTACCCAGCCTCTGGCATGGACCAGGACGGCGGGTGAGTAGAAGAACTCACTGTACAGTTCTGAGCATAGCCTCCCGTTGTGAGTGCACAAAGCCCTGTCCTGACTGGTATCTGTTCCTCCATCCCAGGGGGTGACACCAGTCAGCTTTCCCAAACTGCGGGAAGGCACCCAAGGCAACTGACTTCCTTAAAGAAAAAGGTTTATTGAGCTCCCAGTTTTGGAGGTTCAAGTTCAAGGTCGAGTGGCCCCCTTGGTTTGGCCTCTGGTGAGGGTGGTAGATAGCAATGGCAGAGAGCATGCGGAAGATCCCATGGAAACAGCAGGAGTGGCTGGGCCCAAACTCAGGCTTTTACAAACAACCCTCTGGTGACAGGCTCAAGGCAAGGAACCACTGCTGAAGTCACTCCCTCTGTGACTCCCACTGGGTCTCCCTCCTACAGATTCCAGGCCTGCGGGGAAACCCACACTGGCACCCACAGTGAGCAAGCTTTTCTGGGAGGGCCAGGGAACGGGGCTTCATCTCCAGAAAAGGTGCTGTTGGGCTGGCCGGGAGACTCTGTAGCAGCCTAAGTGATGCCCATGTGGTCACTGTCTCACAGCCCTGGCCTTCCCTAACTCCTGCTGCACTGGCCTGGGCGTGGCAACAGGTTGCTCTCCAGGAAGCCCCTCCCCAAAGAGTGCAGCAGCTCAGCACACCCTCTTCCTGTTGTGGCTTCCCCAGCAGCAGAAGGACCGTGATCCTCCAGGCCTCGTGACAGCAGACACCACCAGGCTCCGGGTCTGTCCCAGCTGGGGCTGCTCCAGCACAGACACCACTGTGGACTGGGCCTTCTGGAACTGTTTCCCCCCAGCCCTTTAGTGGGGTGCCTCTCCAATGGCTCAGGATTCGACATGTGCGAGACATCGTCATTGGCATCATTTGCCTGTGCCAGTTGACTGCCCTGGGCTGGACATTCCCTGAGCAGGAGGCTCTGCCTTTCCTCTGAGCTCACCTTCTCTGCAGGGCCTGGCGCCCAGCAGGTGCACACAGTACAACTGGGTTGAGCTGGGGTCACGTGGTCTTAGCACCAGAGCCAAGAGACACACAGGGCATCAGGCTTTGTACCGTGGCAGGGCAGTCACCCCATGGCAAGCTAGACCCCACATAGGAGCAGACACCATGAATGCCAGACCCTAAGAGCTGACTCTGCCCCAGCCCCCTGCTCTCTTCCTTCCACTCCCCAGGGGGGAGGGGTTCTGAAGCTCACCTTGGCCCAGAGCTGCTGGGAGGGAGCCCGTTCTGCCAGTCCCTGCCCCACTCACAGGTGCCACCCGTCCTGGCGGAGAGGGAACCCTACCTTGGTGGAAGTCTTCAGCTCGCCCCACTGGGCGGCCCCTAGAGGCACGGACGCCCCGTCCAGGCCCAGGCGGAGCTCCCCAGCCACGCTGTGGCGGGAGAAGCGGTCGCAGGTCCTGAGCGTCAGCGTCAGGGTGGCTGTGGGGAGCTCCTCCTCCACCAGCGGGAGCGCCAGGCCCTCCTCCCACGTGGTGTGCAGCTGGCGCTTCTTCAGGGCCGTCTGGGCCTCCACGGAGCCCGTCCTGTTGGCCACACTGCCCTGGACGTAGCAGTCACAGCCTCCGTCGTGGTCGCTGGTCACTGCTGCAGGCAAGGACAAAGCAGCACACACTGGCACTCCCTGAGGACAGGGGGAGGGGCGACACCTGTCCCTGCCTAGGGCTGCAGAGCGATGGACGTCCGATGGACCCCAAGGCTGACCTCCCTGGGAGACCCTGAGCATCGGGAGGTCCTTGAGGGGCCAGCATCAGCACCCACTGCACTTCCTGGGGGACCGGGGCCAGACTCGGCGCTCCCCCGAGCCCTGGTGATCTGAGCATTCCCCAAGGCGTAGGGCCCTGTGCCGGGTTCCAGCATCGCTGCGGAGCCTGTGAGTCACTGATTCTGCATTTTAAATATTTACCACACAACAGCTTGTGATTCGGATCACTTGGCCGCCACCCCAAGAGGCTTGCTTTGTATGCGGAACCTGGGTGCTTTGAAAACCGCTCTACAAGGTGGAGTTACCCAGAAATCCACCCTTGCGCTGCTTTTACGGTTGGCTCCTCCATGATCACGTGGGAAGAGAAGCTGAGGAACCGAGGTCACTGCCCCACGAGAAAGAGCTTTCCACGGAGCCTCACGGGACATTTAGTCCTGGCTCTGCCGCCGCAGGCTGTGGGAGCGATGCTGAACAAGTCATAAGAGTTGCGGGGCCTCGGTTTCCCAATCTGTAAAATGGGACCGTTGTGACGATGAACCATAATAAAGCACGTGAAAGTGCTTTAAAAGTATTACAAGACAATAAAAAAGCAAAGCGGGTCCTCAGGACTGATCTGGGCTCGTCGCCAGCCCTGGTTACTCTGCAAAGTCTTGCTTTTGGTAAAGCAAACTGCCCGGGTAGAGAGACCGAGGGTACCCTGACGCCCTCAGAGAAACCGGCTCCGTCTTGGAAGGCAGAAACGCTCCGCCTGTTCACAATGTTCTCAGCTTCCGGCACCGAGCCCCGCCCTGCCCCATGGCGGGGCCTCCTGGGGCACAGATGGCCGCGTGTTCACCAAGAACACATTACCTCTTCGTCCTGGGCAACTGGCGGGGCCACACTTCCCAGGCTCCTTTGCAGGGAGGTGTGGCCACGGGCCTGGGTTGCAGCCAATAGGATGTGAGCAGAAGCGAGGCCCGGCATGGCCAGGTGCAGGCTACAAAGGAACGGCCACGCCCTCTCCTTCTCATTCTCCTCCCACCTGCTAGAGAGGGACCACAGGGAGACGGGGGACTATGGAGCCTCAGAGCGGAGGGGGCTGGGCCTTGGCTCGCCGTGTGGAGGAAGATGTTTACCAACAGGGCGCTCGGTTGGGCCTGTGAGCGGGGAGGCTGAGCAGGTGTGTTTGGGGCTCGGCTTGGCCGGTGCTAGTCCAGCCTGCCCGCACAGCTGCCCGCACAGCTGCCGACCCCCGGGGGCTCAGACAGAGCAGTACCTTCCAGGCGCGTCACGAACAGCTCGGCCTTCTGCCGGTCGTAGTCCAGGCAGTAGTGGAGTTTGGGGGCTTGGTTCCAGCTGGCCGCCTTCTCCGGGTTCCAGGTCTCCGTGACGCACACGTCCTCCACCACGCCTGCAACAGAGGGAGAGCCACGGCTGCCACACACCCCCCTCCCGTCTCGGCCGCCTGGGCCACTACCCCAACTCAGGGCCACTACCCACACGTGGTGGCCACGGCCACGTGGGGGTAACACAAGCGGCCACGGGCACTGCATTTCAAGGGGTCACAGTGGCCCAGCAGTGGACATGCCGGCTTTGCTGTCAGCATGGGAGCTGGTGACCTCGGACAAGTTACTTGACTTCTTGGAACCTCAGGTTGTCTTTATGATGGGCATGACAACAGTGTCTCTCTCCTGGTCACTGCGGGCTATGAAACAAAGCCAAGAATGTCCTCAGCCCAGGGCCTGGCCAAAGTGGGCGTTCCCTAAGGGAGACAGACCCTTAGCAGCCCCGTCTCCAGCTCCACCCCTCGCAGAGAACACGGTCCCTGCATCCCGGGGTCAGCAGATGGAGAGGATCATAGAAGAACAAGTCAGGAGAGGATGCTGGGACCAGGTCGGGGGTAGTGCACTTTGAGCTGAGCACGTGTGCAATGAATATTTGCTGAGAGCATTGACGAGTTTATCTTTAACTCAGACGTCTCTAAAAGCGATCTCGCTCCCTCTGCCCTGGCTCAGACGGCAGCCCGCCATCTGAAAGACGCTCATCAGTCAGAGACAGTGTTAAGCGCCGAACACATCCTGCAGCTGCGGCAGATGCCACTTTTAGCAAACTGGAATTCAAATGTCTGATTCTCAGAGCTCATTGCGAGGGTAGAAATCGGGAGGACTGCTCAGCTTCGCAATGGTTCCTTCTGAAGTTTCCGCAAGTGTGCAAAATGTCCCTCGTGAATCTCTGGGATGTGGCTGATGTAATAAAGCAAGACCCATGGGGCTCCCACAGGCACCGGCGGGGCCGGCCTGGGCAGCTCCGAGACAGCCTCGGTCCTCGGCATCCAGACCAAGCCCCGGCAGGGCGTCTGTGCAGCAGCGAAGACGCCCGTGCCTCATGTTGGCTGGGGTGCTGGGTTCGAGTCCTGGCTCCGTTCCCCTTTCCAGTCCTGTCAATGTGCACCGTGGGGGGGCAGCCAACGTGGTCTCAAGTGGTTGAGTCCCTGCCATCCACGTGAGAGACCTGGGTTGCGTTCCTGGCGGCTCCTGGCTTTGGTCTCGCCCAGCCCGGGCTGTTGTAACTCCGGGGGAACAGTTCTGCTCCCGATCCTGCCTTCATGCAAGCTTTGAGACGTCGAAGCTCCCTGGCAAGGGGAATCCTGCTATCATGATGGTGATGGCCACCCCCAAGGGTCCTCATATCAATCATTCCCACTCAACCCTATGCTCTCAGGTATTAAACGGGTCTCCTTCTAAAATTTATTTTTATCTATTTTTTGAGAGGTAGACAGACACACACACAGAGAGAGAACACTCCCATCCACTGGTTCTCACCCCACATTCTCACAACAGCTGAGGCTGGGCCAGGCCAAAGCCAGGAGCCAGGACTGCAATCCAGGTCTTGCACTGGGTGGCAGGGACCCGACTCCTTGAGCCAGCACTGGCAGGGTCAGCAAGGGCAGGAAGCAGCAGTTGGAAGTCGAGGCAGAGACTGAAGCCAGGCGCACCACCACGAAAGCCAGGGTCTGAACCGGTGCTTCCACTGCCAGGCTGCCTGCTAAGTGGGCCTGTTTTCAATGTGTTTGAAATGCGGATGGGCGGGTGGACCTGGGGCTAATGCCCAGCCAGGAGTGGTTCACACCGTCTGTCCTTCACAGGCAGGTTAATCAGTGTGGTTCCAGGCTGGGGCGGGCCGGGGACATTTGTTCCCTGGCCAGGGTGCCTCCAGTGAACCCAGGAAGGAAGACTCACTAAGACCACAGTCAATGTCAAAGCCATTGGGTTTCTTATTCCACCACCTGCCTCACCAAACACACAGAACCAAACCCCAGCCATGCCACAGTCCATCTCCCTGTCTTGATGCTTCACTCCCTAGGAAGCTCACCCATTCCTTTGCATGAGGGACTGGGTCTCTGCTTCTCATACCTACCCTAGGACCCAGTGCCAGCTGTGTACATGTGGAAAAATAGGGTCGCATTCAGGATATAGAAGCTCTCGGAAGGAGAATGGAAATAAGAATAGGTTTTGGCTCTGCCCTCTGGACCAGGCCCTGAGTTAAGCATTTCCTGTGCATTATTTTATTTGTATTTTGCAGCAACCCTGTCGGGCAGGTGGTAGACGGATCTCATTTTATAAATGTGGAAAATAAGGCCCTGAGGTGTTAGCAATGTGACTTCCGCCACTCAGCCGGTGGATAAGAGAGTCGAGAATTATACCCACAGCCCTGAAGCCCAGTGTGTTCACTGTGACTGTAGGACACACACAGGACATGACAGGGACTCCCTGGTTCCCTTGTGGGCAGCTAGGGGCATCAAGGAGGAGCAGCGTGTAGCCCGTGACAGGAATACGGGACTGGAACCCCAAGGCCCTGGACCGCCTGCTTGTCCAGGGTCAAAGGCCACCACCAGGGGCTCCTGGACAGCTCCCAGCATCCTCCGGGGCAGTGCCTCGTGTGCTACCCATGGAGAACATGCGGCAGGAGACGCCTACCATTCTGGGGAAGGATGAACAGCTCCTCCGTGACCTGCCGCTTGAGACGGCTGTCGTGCGGGGCCTGGGGGCTGGCAGGTGCAGCCGGCTCCTCCGTGGTCCTCAGCGTGTAGTCAGCATAGTTGATGACCTCTGGAGCGGTCACATTTGGCCTGGGGCCATAGATGTCTGGGAACTTGAGGAGGGCTCGAGGCTGGACAGGCTCCGTGGACTTTTTCACGTTGAACTGCAAAGACAAGTTTCCTCTGATTGGTGCCCAGGGACCTCCTGCCTGGGGCCCACTCACAGGAAGGGAGAAGCCTGGACCAGCAGAACCCACATCGTGGGGAGTTTCAGGGGACCCACGGCTCGGGGGGTGCGCTGCTTCTCCAGCCACGGGTGCACCTGTCTCCCGGCTATGCCCACGCCTATCGCATTGGTCCTCTTTCTACCAATCTCAGCGCCCCAGAACCGTCATCCTCTCATTCTTCCCTTGCTCTACCTCCCCTTCCCCACCCGCCTTATGTCTTATCAAGCCATAAGGAAGTAGAGCTGCAGAAGAAAGAGAGGTGGCATCTGCCATCTTTGCCCCCAGCAGGCACTGAGCCCCCGCCTACTTGAAGGATTCAAAGCGACATAACAGGGGCCTGCACTGTGGCTCAGCAGGTTGAGTGGCCACCTGCGACACCAGCATTGCATACTGGAGCGCCGGTTCAAGTCCTCACTGCTCTGCTTCCAATCTAGTTCCTACTGGTGCACCTGGGAAGGCAGCAGAAGGTGGCTCAAGTACTTGCAGCCCTGCCACTCATGTGGGAGACCCGGATGGAGTTCCTGGCTCCTGGCTTCAGCCAGCTTCAGTTCTTGTCCATGTCTGGGGAGTGAACCAAGAGATGGAAGATCTCTCTCTCTCTCTCTCTCTCCCCTTCTCTGTCGCTTTGCCCAGATAGATAAATAAAAGAAATTTTTTCAAAAACCCACAAAGTTACACTAACAGGCAGCAGTCCCAGGCCCTGTGAAACTGAGAATTATTGATGGGAATTGGTGACTGGGTCTAGAACTTGAATCTTGGTTCCCCAGGTGGGTGGCCACCAGAAGACCCTCAGGTCAGGGCAAACACAGAGGATCGCAGAGAGTCTCACTGAACCTCCAGCCCCTCCCCTCTCTGTGACGGGAGCCAAGAGGCTGGTACGGGTCAAGGCTCTCTGTCCAGTGGCAGGTGTGACCCAGGGGCGGGCAGCCTGGGGTGGGCATGGTCCGGAGGGGGTGGGGCTGACCCTGTTTCATAGCTTGCACTCCTGGCACCTGCACCAGGATGGATCCTGGCGGTTCCTGACTGTTGCCGAGACAGGCTGGACCTGGTGGCTGGGCCAATCCTTTATCATCCAGGCACTGGACAAATGTGTGGGTGTGCACAAGAAGGCACAGCTGGACCTCAGGACACAAAAGCGGGAACCAGCCTCTCCCACTCCTGCAGCCAGACACCACCTAGTTACTGCCGCGTGTACTTTTTTTTAAAGATTTATTTTATGTATTTGAAAGGTAGAGAGACAGAGAGAGAGGGAGAGGTCCTCCATCTGTTGGTTCATTCCCCAAATGGCCACAAAGGCCAGCACTGGTTCAGGTGGAAGGCAAGAGCCTGGGTCTCCTATGTGGGTGCTAGCAGTGGGTGGTACTTGGGCGTCTCCCACTGCCTTCGCAGGTGCATCAGCAGGGACAGGAGCAGAAGTGGAGCAGCAGGGACCTGAGCAGTGCCCCACTGTGGGCGGCCGGCATCACAAGTGGTGGCTTCCCCTGCTGTGCCGCTACTGTGTGCATTCTTTAGGATGCCCCAAGCGGTACAGGTCAAGCCTCTTGTATAGCTGGAGAACCTGAGGCTCCGAGGGGGCGAAACCCTTGGAAACTCCACCCAGCAGACTCTAAGGCAAAGCAAGGCCAGCAAGGACCTGCCCCCATCCTGGTCACTGCCGCGTGTGCTGGAGCAAGCGGCCCTCACAGCAGTCCTAGCCCAGGCAGCAACATTAGCCCACCAGCTCTTGCCCACCAGCAACTTTTGCCGTTACCCTGTTAGACCCTGGGAATGAGTTGCACGATTTGTAAAATGAGGGTCCGACTCCCACCTGCACCCCCGTGGAGCGTGTCAGTGGGCATCAAGGGGCCTGGTTTCCAGTTCTGATCCTACCTCTGGGGCTGGGTGACTTTGGGTGGACTTTCTGTCTTTCTGGACTATCCCTTCAAGCGACAGGTGCATCTCAGGCTTATCCCGCTCTGCGTTCTAAGCTGCAAAGCAGGGGGAGCCCCATGCTGTATGTTCAGCCACTGGTGGGCTGGGAAGGCCATCACCCATAGAAGCAACTGGCTGCCTACTGAGCAGTGCCACAGGCTGGCCGTGCAGTGGGTGGCAAGCAGTCTGTGCTCAGGATTGCTGGGGACAGCAGACAAAACACACTCAGCGTGCAACCAGAGGAGGCTGGGAGGCCAGCCGGGGCTTCAGGAAGGAGCCAGGGCCTTGGAGGAAAGGAGGTTTGGAAGGCAAATGGGGTGATAGGGAGAAGGTATGTGTCAGGGCCCTGGAGGAGACACTCAGAGCAATAACTAGTGTCCTCCAAAAGTCACGTCCACCCTCAGTATCTCATCTACGTCAGTGCAACATTCTTTATTCTATTGTACAATGTGGGAACTGGGGCACGGGGCCCAAGGTCTCACAACTGGTACACAGCACGGACAGTGGAGCCTGTAGCTACTTCGACTTCAACTCCACGCCAGCTCCATTGCTGCTGGTCTCAGACACTGGGTTCTAAGTGACGGTCACCGCACGCCAGGGTCAGCTCCCTCCTGCTCATCTCTCAGAGGATGCTGGCACAGGTGGATTCCCAGTGTGATCCATCGTGGCCGATGTTGCCAGTTCAATGGGGAAAGCATCTCTGGGCTCTGTTCTGCGTGAGCTTCGCCCTGCGTGGCCTCAAATCATCAGGGAGCCCCGGCGCTGCACTCCTCCCTCGCAAGGGCTCTCAGTGTGTGCGTCCCTGAGGACTTGGGAGCTGTCTCAGGTCCTTGAAACGCACCCCTGCAGTAACGGCGCGGCTCTTTCAGGTTGTCCCCACCCCTTCTTCCCTCTGCCATCCATACTCATCCACCCTGCTCCTGGCTCCCTGGGACAGGTGGTGTGTGTGTGTGTGTGTGTGTGTGTGTGTGTGTGTGTGTGTTTTGTCTGTCTTCTCTGATCCTATCAGTCTGAGGCTTTATCTCCATGACTGTTTCTGGCCCAGGGATTGCCCCGCCCCCGTCACGGGGAGGCCAACAGGGATGGGGTGGAAGGACTAGTGTCCTATGGTGGCAGGAGAAGTCCTCTCTCTCCTGGACAGGAAGTGCGTGGCTCTGTCTGGTGACTGCAGAGTGAGTCAGCCTGAAGACAAAGCCGAGCAAACGGACAGCTTTGTGGAGAGACACAAACACCTGCATCCCTTGGTGATGTCATGGAGGTGGTGAGTGGTCCAGCCCCGGACGCTGCCCTGCCTCTGCCTGTCAGGCCCCACGAGCTGTCTTTGTGCTGATTGTTGACACCGCCTTGAATTGGGTGCCTTTGTGCCCTGCAGTCGAGAGCATTCCACATGGGCGCTCTGCACCCTAACACGTGTCCTTGGAGACCGTGACCCAGGGGCAGAGGAACTCAGCCAAAAGCATCCCCGGCCCCTGTTCATCCTCGGGCTGCCTTGTCTGTGTGGCAAATGATGTACAGCCCATGGCCAGGCAGAGAGCAGAGCCTGATGACAGCTACGTGAGTCTCTCCAAGAGGCAAAAGCATCCGCTGATTTCCCATTGTGACCTCCTGTAAAAATCTTATTTATTGCATTTCAAAAGCCCGGTCTGCAACTTCTTTCTTTCTTTCTTTCTTTCTTTCTTTCTTTCTTTCTTTCTTTCTTTCTTTCTTTCTTTCTTTCTTTCTTTCTTTCTTTCTTTTGCAATATCTTTCAAAGGCATCTATGTTTCCGCTTAAATAACTGAAACAGGAAGCAGAAAAGAGGTTTGGGAGTGTAGGCAGGGAGCCAGGGAGAGGCTTAGGTAGCTGGGGGGGAAAGACCACCTGGTGGAAAGCAGGTGCTCGGGGAAGCAGGTCCTGGAGAAAGACCTGCGTCCAGGCCTCACACGGTGGCTGCAGCAGCGACAGCTCTTGTCGGCACTCCCTGTCTGCCGGTCAGGAGAGAGGGCCTGGGAGACGTGGATGCAGGCTGAGTCGGGGGAGATTTCCTGTGCTCAGCTCAGTCACCCAGCTGGACGGGAGGATGCACCCTCAGACACGGACCTGACACCCTGCCGTCCCTCCCCGGCCTCTCCCAGCCTCCCCATCTCCAGGACTTTTGGTCACTTGCTCCGTCCAGTGTGGGCAACTCTGCACGGACCACTTCACGGAGGCACAGCCCAAGGGGACCTTGAGCTGTGCCCTGGGGCTTTCCTCTGTTGCTGCGATGTGAGACACAGGGACACTGTCAGAGTTACAGAGAAGGGCAGGGAGAGAGAGAGAGAGAGAGAGAGAGAGAGAGATCTTCTATCTGCTTGTTCACTCCCCAAATGGCTGCAGCAGCTGGGACTGGGCCAGGCTGAAAGCAGGAGCCAGGAGCTTCTTCCGGGTCTCCCACATGGGTGCAGGGGCCCAAGGACTTGGGCCAAGCTCTAATGCTTTCCCTGGTCATTAGCAGGGAACTGGATCGGAAGTGGGGCCCGTATGGGATGCCAGCACTGCAGGCGGCACCTTTACCCACTACGCCACGGCACTGGCTCCTGAAAGCAGGGTCTTTGAGGGGGTATTTGTGCACCCACATTCCCAGCAGCATTATTTACAATAGCTACAGGGTGGACGCAACCCGAGTGTCCACCCACAGATGCCTGGGTAAGCAAGCTGGTGTAGGGATGGGACGGAATAGTCTTCAGCCTTAAGGAGTAAAGTTGTGACACCTGCTACCACACGGGTGGACTTGGAGGACACGATGCTAAGCACAGTAAGCTGGTCACAGAAGGACAAGCGCCGTGAGACCCAGCCTCCGGGAGCCCCTCTGAGGGGTCGGAGTCCTGGAGACAGGCAGCAGGACGCCAGAGGCTCAGGAAGCGTGGGGAGTCGCGCGTGGGTGCAGGGCTTCAGCTGTGCAAGAGGAAGCGAGTTCTGGAAACGGGCGCTGGGCAACTGTGAGTGCATTTAATACCCCTGAACCGAACACTTAAAAATGGTTGAGATGGCGACTGTCGTGTTCTGTG